ATCAGATTGGCATCTTTGCTTTGGCATGAAGTTGATCTTGGCATTAACCAAAACCTCCTCCTTCTAATGTTCCAGAATAGTGGCCTGAGGCCAAACGGCCTTGCTAGTCTGCTGTGAGAACAAGATCTGCCTGGTTTCAATCCTCCTGGTCTGGCAGCTCTGCATTTCCGGAAATGAAGTTCAGTTTGGGCCCACCCTTCACGTGTCTCCTGTGGGCCAGTGGCTTACGTAGCTCTATGTGTCCACTGTCCACGCGATGAGGCTGTGGAAGTAAAAAATGGCTTTCTTGAACACAAGGCAATAAGATATTTGCATACTCCTTAGCGGGCACACACAGTCCCCCGGAGCCCAGCCCTCCCCCATCTCACCTCCGCCTCACACATCTGACAAGTGTCCGCTGGGACGACCTTTCGTCAGCCAAAGAACTCAGCGCTCTTCATTGCTTCATCACGCTGCCCATTTTGCTACGATCGCCTCTGTCTTCCAATTCCCCGGTTCTGTTTTCAGCTCTCTAGTTTATGTTTAACCTAGAGATCAGTTCAACAGCTCTCTCTTATTTCTGGAATTTTTATTTGGTGCGTTTCAAAACTGCCTTCTCCTACGCCCTTTCAAATCGCTCCAGCCTCTGTGGCTCCTGCAAGGTGGAAGTGATCACTCCTTTTGTCTGTTTGCTCTTTGTTTTGTATGTTTTCACTTGGAGCTCATCTCCAACAGGAATTGTCCTGCTCAGACCCTGGGCTGTGGGACCTCTCCAGGGAGAGGTTTTTGGTTGGTTGGTTGGTTGGTTGGTTTTCTTTTTAAGGAGATATTTTGAGTATATTTTTGCGGGGTCTCTACAGACCCCATAGGCACATTTTTAAGTTATTTCTGCCTTTCCACATTTCCACACCACATGGGTATGAATGCAAAGGGCAAGGCCTGGCCTGCACGGTCCCTCTAGCCCCTTCTTTGCTGCCCTGCCCATCGCATTCTGCCATCTTCCAGACCATGGCAGCTGGTCATGAGCAGGATGCTTGCTCTCAGAACTTAGATATGTCATTTAAAGGACATTTGGGCCAACCCCTCAGCCGCCCAGCCTGCTCTCCCCTCTTGCGGAGGCTTCCCTGGCCCCTGACTCACCCTTCTCCCAGCTCAGACCTCCTCTGAAAACTCCTCCTCATCTGTCCCTGGGTCTCTGGTCTCTGGTCCACTCCCAGCTAAGCAGCCACCCCCTCAGGAGCACTCCTGCGGTTCAGAGAGCTGGGGGTCTTTGGTCCAGAGGAGGTTCTGGGCACAGGGGAGGACGTTGGACATGGTTGGTACGGCTGCATTCTCCATCGAGTCACAATCAATTGAGAATTAAAGTTCTTCTCTCCCCCAGGAAGGTCACTTTGCCTGCTCCCCTTCCTGCTTGGTTGAGCTATGCATTGACACATTTACTTCTGCCTCGATCATTTTTCAGCTACGGTTCGTCTCTGCAGTTCTAGCCAAGGGTTAGTACAGGTTTTCTTCTTGATCATAGATCCAGGCTTATGAAACCCTAATTAGGCATTTCCTTTAGCTGCCTTCATAGATTACTCGGTGCGAGAAGGCCGCAGGCATAAACCTAGGCTGAGCTGTTTTGGACGCCCAATTAGAAGCTGGTGGGGGAGTTTCTAATCATTCTCACCTCCGAGACTGGGTTCAGGCTGCTCCCCATTCCCAGAGGCCCTTCCCTCTGACCTCGGATACTATCATTCTTGCCGTCTTTTGGGACCCACAGAAAATCCACACTGCTAGGATCTTATATTTTTAATGCCAATGTGGTAAGGGCCCCATGCACCCCTCTGAGGGCAGAGGAGTCTAAGGCACATCCCTTTACAGAAAAAAAAAAAAAAAAATTGACAATATGTACCAAGAGCCTACAAAATACCTCCGGCCTTTGACCTGGTAATTCCACTTCCAGGAATCATTCCTGTGGATTGAACCAGAAATGCAGACAAATATATATATATATATATATATATATATATATATATATATATATATATAGTATATGAAGAAATCTGTTTCAGTGTCATTTATAATTGTGGGTACATGTGAATACCGGATAACTGGGAATATTTAAGTAGATTGTAGTATACCCGTATTATACAGCCATGTACAATGAAGTTGGTGAAGGCAATTTTAATGCTGATGTTAAGTAAAAGCAGCAAACTTCCAGATGGTTTGTGCAGGGGATCCGAACAAGCCTTCCCGGCTACGGCCCACTTCCAGCAAGGTGGGACAGTGATTGCAGGCATATAGGGTGAGGCTGCTGGGAGTCGTGGAGATGCTAATAAAATGGGAAATTCAAGAAAACTGAGGCTGGGTGAACAAGGTCACCGTTTTACGCAGCGCAACCCCCCCACACCCCCCTCTCCCAGGATTGCGGTTCACACTCCGGAAAAGCTGGGGCGAGTGCCTGCGGGGCCGCCGCTGCTGAGCTGTGGGATTATCTCACTTCTCCCGGGAGCTTGTTGTACTATCCTAGAAGACGGTATAAGGGTATGAAAGGAAGGGAGCCAGAAATGTGCCCTCCTACCAGCCGGGCACATGGAGTGCTGTAGGGGCAGCGGGCACATGGGTCCCACAGGGCAGTCATGCTCCAGAGTAGGGGTGTCGAACTCAATCAGAGAAGGGGCCAAAATCTAAAATCCAGCCTAAATCGCGGGCCGAATGGTTTACTGAACAGTCATAAACTGTCATTGTGATGGAAACGCAGCGGAGTGCAGTGATGACAGCGTGGTGCGGGCCACATTGCAAGGCCTGGCGGGACGGATTTGGCCCGAGGGCCTTGTGTTTGACACATGTGCTCCAGAGGGTGGTCCCCCGGGAGGGTGGTGGTGGCGGCGGCCAGGATGGGGGTCACCCCTGGGGTTGCCTGGTTGATGCTCATGCTCTGCCTGCATCTCAAGGGGCACCGGGTGTGGTCAGGGCCCCTCTGCACTCTGAGGAAACCAGAGGTTTCCTGATGCTCAGAGGACATCCCATGGTGTCAGCCATATTCCAGGTTCTGGAATCTGCTGCCTGGCTGGTTGCAAACCTCAAGTCCAAGGTGCCCTGGGCCTCCTCAGATAGATGCTTCCTCTTCCTTGTTCCTCACTCTCCCATCCCCCCTAGACTCTGTCTCCAGGTCTTCCTTTGTGCCACATCCGCACGCCTGGAGCAGCCCCACCCAGTCAGGCAGCCCAGGCCTGTGGGCTCTGCACCCAGCCCAGTGTCTGAGCTCCTTCAAGGAGCAGGAGGCGAGGGTAATTGCGTCAGGGCCTCTAGTGAGCGGTAACGGGTGCCTAGCGGAACAGGACCTTGGAGAATCTGCCAGGGCCCCTTCTGCTTATCTGCCATGGACCCCTAAAATATTCATCAGACTTTATCGGCCTAATGGGCTTCAAAAGGAGCAATTTTCTGAGACATGAGATAGGACAATATAAAAAGAACATTAAGGAAAAATCCTTCCTGCGAAATGAAAGGGAAAAGATCATTTAGCGTCCCTGCTGGTGTTATCTATTCATGAGAAGCAGCGCGTTTAATCCATGGCAGGGTGTGCGGGGGCTTTGATGCCCTCACCTTGGGGTCACCTTCATGCAGAACTCATCTGTCTCTGCCGCCACAGACGCCAAGGGCCATGGAGACAAGAGGGTGCAGATGAGAGACATTTCAGAGCTGGACTCTGTGGGGCGACGAAGGAGTGTGTGGGAGAGAAAGGCTATTGTGACTTCCAAGGTGCCCAGGGCACTAGAGGGAGGGGAGCATTGTTCTTCATTTTTCCTTCCTTTTATGCTTCCTATCTTCCTCCCCAAAAATACCCCGGTCTTGATTTAATGTTTTGGAGCATGCTGTGGGAGTTCAGTTCCTGGAGGTCAGGAACTGTGACTCCCTCCCAGCCCCTAATGTTCCTATCCATCGATTAGGGCTCAGTTTTGGTTCCCAGCCCTAAGACCACAAGTCCATGCCGGGAGGACTGATTGGTGGTCCTTCTGAGCCTCCCCAGGTACTCCAACAGGGGATAAGGCAGAGTCCTCTAACAGAAGACTGTCTCTCTCAGAATTTACTTTGCTTGAGTGGAACAGAGCATGAGGTTACAGCAGTGCCCAGGCCAGCCTTCTTACAGAGACAAAGAACTGAAGGGTTCCTTTCTCCTGCATCTCATCCCTCTTCTTCCCATGTTCATTACCTTTTCTCTTACTCATTTTTGACTCCTAATTCTTTCCTCTTCCTTTTCTTCTTCTTCTTCCTTTTCTTCTTCTTCTTCCTTTTCTCCCCCTCCTCCTCCTCCTCCTCCTCCTCCTCCTCCTCCTCCTCCTCCTCCTCCGCCTTCTTCTTCTTCTTACCTTTCTCATTCCCTTTTCTATCTTCATTTCTACTTTTGATCTAGCACCGTGGTCGGCAAACTGCGGCTCTCGAGCCACATGAGGCTCTTTGGCCCCTTGAGTGTGGCTTTTCCACAAAATACCAAGGCCTGGGCTAGTCTATTTTGAGAAGTGGCATTAGAAGAAGTTTCAATTGAAAAAATTTGGCTCTCAAAAGAAATTTCAATCGTTGTACTGTTGATATTTGACTGTGTTGGTTGACTAATGAGTTTGCTGACAACTGATCTAGCATGTTTCTTTTTATAGCTTCAAACTTAGAAAAATAATTTCAATTTTATTTTTCTCTAGTAAGAAAAATTTTATACAAAGCAAATTTAAGATAACACACCTCCACCTGTCCACCGAGTGCTTGCCAGCCTATATAGCTAGTAATTATGTGACCTGCCCACACCCAGATGTTTGCCTGATGACTGGATTCTCAGGCATTCCTCTACCCCATGGTTTGCCCCATCCTGCTTGATGTGAGCTTGTATAACCTCAGGGTGTATCAATCACTATGTTCATCGAGTTCTTTGCAATAAAAACTGTTGACCCAAAAATGCCTTCTCCACTTTTGATAATTCAAATAAAAGCCTGGTTGCTATTTCATTGCATATTCATTTAAGTGTTGCTTCTCTTTCTTTTCATTAGATTTGTGACAAAGAGTGGCATTACTACGTCATCAACGTGGAGTTCCCCGTGGTGACCTTATACATGGATGGAGCGACGTATGAACCATACCTGGTGACCAACGATTGGCCCATTCATCCATCTCACATAGCCATGCAGCTTACAGTCGGCGCATGTTGGCAAGGTAATCCTGACTCAAGTCCTTCTCCCTGACCCATCTGTGTGCAGCCCAGGAAGGGCACTGATGAGACAAGGGAAAAGGAAATGGTGTAGGAATAGGCCAAGAAAATGTCTATCACTTACTAATAAAACAGGACTTATAAAAATATGGATCCATCTAGACACTGAGTTTGTGTAATAACAGAATACTTAGCTTGAAACCAGATTTTAATTTTAGATCATCATGAGCAGTTTGGTTGCCTCTGAGTTGCTAATGCCTTTTATTGTTCTGGAACCTTAGCCAGTGTCAGACTGGGGCTATGGATAGGAAAAGGTTGGATACAGAACCCTGTATCACAATGGCCAGTTGGCTCCCTAAAATAGCACACTGGCCACACAAGTTGCCCAAGCCCCCAGCCCTCTGTTATTGGGAATCATAAACACGCAGGGCTGTGGGCAATGAATTTCCCCAGGCCTGAGGCCATCAGAGGTCACTCTCAAGTTTAAAGCTCTCTGCTCCCTTCTCACTTCCTTTCCTCCAACACACAAACCCAGGTTAGTCTTTTATTTGGAATCAGGAAAAGCAGCTCTCCAAAGAACAGGTGTGTAACCCTTCTTTCTCTCTCTCTCGGATCCATTGGACTCTGTTTTTCTCCCTTAAGGGCTGTGGTGCTTTGAAGTACCAATGAGAGAGCAGAGGGGAAGGAAAGCACTCCCCAAATAAGCAGATTAGTCCTTTGAGATGAGTCACCTCATGGTGATGGGTTTTGTGAAAATTATTAAGGTTTGGTGAGTGACCATTCACCATGGAGGCCTGGAGGGAGAGGTGGGTTGTGATATAAGAATACGCCTTCAGAAGACCAGCCAACCAAAGGGTGACCTAGAGGAGACGAGGCCCCTCTGGGACAAAGAGTGAGTTCTGGAGAAATCCATGCAAGAAACAATGGAATCAGTGCATAGAGTACAGCTCTGGGAGCAGGAACACAAAACCCGGGAAGGGAAGAAAATGTGTTTTTGAGCTGAGGTCACCTACTTGATGTCTGACATATGTCACATAAGAGTAAAAAAGCTCCTTAAACATTTCAATAGAACTTGATGGGCGCTTCCTCAGTATGTCAGAATTCCCTAGGATATCAGGAAAGAGACACTGTCATCTGACAAGTGTCCATGGAACTAATTAGTATAGCAAGGCACTGGCTCCGAGGTTGCACAGGAATCATTAGTCACTGAGCACAACTGCAATAGAGCGATGGCTCCCTGGCGTGGCTCGGTGTCCTGCCCAGCACCACAGCCAGCCTGGAGATATTTTGGAGCATAGCCTGCATACTTCCCGTACTATACAAAGGTCCTACTCAAGTCCTGACCGTGAACCTTACCATGACTTTCCTGAGAGGTCCTCAGAGACCACATCTGGATCCCCGTCACCCAACCTGCACTGGAAACCTGCTGCCAATGCTACAAGGCCAGTTATAACCACTGCTGAATAGTATCACGCTCGCTGAGTAGGAAAACAATCCCGCCAAAATAAAAAAGTGATTTAATAAAAAATCAATATGATCTTTTTTACTCAAAAATAGGCTAAGTTGTACTGCAGTGACAAGCCAGCCCCAATTTTCAGTTGCTTCAAATAATTTTTGCTTCACGTTCATTGCAAATCAATGGAGGCTCTTCGTTGCTTTTACCTCATCTGCATCCCAAGCAGACAGAGCAGGCACACAGCTGGATACTGAGGGAGAAGAAAAAGAAAGCACAATGAATGGTGTGCAAGCTCTTCGAGTTTTCATCTACAAGTGACTCCAATCACTTTTACTCACGTGTTTTTGGCCAAAACAAGTCATATGGCCATACCTAAGGACAGGGAAGTGAAATCTATAATGTGGCTGGAAGAAAAACCAAAAATATTTTATGAACAGCATTACTGAGCACCACAGACTGTCCATCTTGTCAACAGATATTTGTTTGATTGTCCTTCCCACATTAAAAGAATACCTACCACCCTTCCCCAAATGAGATAACCCACAGTCCCACCTGTTCCTGCCTCCCAGCTCAGTGTCCAGGCTCTCTGAGTGATTTCTGGTGATCTCTTCATCAGGATGAGATACATGGGAGGTTCCTTACCTAGCACAGGTGTGGCTTCACTTGATCTAGATATGCACTAATAGAAAGAATTATTTTTCACAACCATTACCCTCTACACACACACACGCACACACACACACACACACACACACACACACACACACACTATGCAACTGTGAAATGAGACAGAATGATTGAAAAGCAATTCCACTAACAAAGAAGAAGAATTTGAGAAATATAGCAGTCTTTGGTCCATAGCAATTCTGAAATCCCTCTGGGCTAATGCTCTACAGGCCTCTGCCCTACTTGGGTAGGGAGGGTTGTCTGTGGCCCTAGAATCCATTCTCAGTGAGGTGTTTCCTTCTCTAATATCCTAGGCCACATCTAATGATAGAATTGTCATTTCAGAAATAGCTCTTATTATATCTGATTACAATTTATTTGAAAGTTATTCCATAAAAAAATGTTTTCAAACATTAAAGCAAAGTATATGTTTCTTTTACAAGAATGTGAGGAAAAGAATGGCTACTAGGGTATTCACTGGGTATTTCTGTCCTCTTCCCAGATAGATGTCAGGACCACTCTTTGCTGGAGTTAGGTGTGGTCATGTGACTTGCTTTGGCCAATTAACTGTGAGTGGAAGTCCTTAATGTCATTTCTTGGCAGACACTTTAAGAGCCAGTGCTGCAAGGAGACTCTTCGCATACATGGGGGTCTGTAGCCACGTCAGAAAGTGTTGTTAGTTACGGCTGTAGATAAACTGAGGCTCTGACAGGTCACCCCAAGTCACTCCATGAAGTTAGCCTGACCCCATGTCTTCAAAGCATGTCCTCCTCTCACTGTGGCTCACAGCCCCTGTTGCTACTTGATCATGAAGTTGATGTAATTACGTGTTTAGGAAAGTGCAGGAGCTGGTGTACATTGACACCAATGCTATACACCCTTTACCTTCTGACACATCTGACAACCCTGGAACCAAAAAGCCACAGGAACTCTGCATACCCTCTGCGAATCCCCTGCTGTACACTCCCTTCAGTGGCCCTCCGCTAACAAAAAGGAGTTCAGGCTTTGGAAATAGAAAATTTTGAGCTTGAGTCACATCCAAATCCCAGCCCTGCCACTTATCAGCTGTGTGGACCCAGCAGAAATCCTAACTTCCCTGAGCTCTTATCTTCTTGTGCCTAAAACTTGGATGATACCTAATTCACAGTTGTTCTCAGTTACGTTTGGGGCACATGCAGTGTGCTTGGCATGTTTGAGTCCAATGAAAGTGAAAATTTGAAAGCATCTGTGGTCCCCTCAAACCTCCTCTCTGCTTCTTGCACTTAAACTCAGATGGCAGACACTTTGCAAGATCTTGGTACTCTATGACTTCTGTGATTCCAGCCTCCCCAGGGCTTCTTGCATGCACTGACTTTTATCTACTTCCCCAGGACAAACCCCCACACACAGACCTGTCCTCCCAGGTCCAACTGTAGGTCAGAAAGAAGGTCACTGAGACTCAAGAACAGTCAGAAAACAAGTATTAGAAGATAGGACTTGTGGTGTAGGCAAGAATCTGATCATGCAAATTTTGGGCCTTGGGGAAGATTAGCGTATCTTCTTTGAGAGGAATGACAGTCCGTTGATACATTTTGAGCATCAGAGAAAATCCTTTGACTCTACAAATTGGGCTTTGTAGGATGAATAGGAGTTCACTGGAGAGCTAAGGAAGGCAATAGCCTGTGACATGGCAGGGAAATGTGATGCAGTCATGCTCAGGGTGCCTCATCACTAGAATGCACATGTACCAGAAGGCGTGGAGAAGAGGCTGGGGAAAAAAGAGTTGAGGTCAGACCATAGGATGTCACGCTGCTTTGTTAAGGGAGCGAGGATTCGCATGAATGCTCATACCCTCCTTGGAGCCACATGTGGTCTTGGAAGGACACAGCAAACGCTCTCTCCGTAGGACATGTTGCGGTGAAGTTAATGCCTACCCTGTAGCCCTCACCTCAGCATGTTTCCAAGCCTGCCAGAGCCCACTTAGCTACACACCATACACCCTCCGTGTGGCCCTCCAATTGGGGCTGCAATTGAGGGGGAGTTTTTCAGGTGCAATTGAGGTTGGCAAGGGAACCGGCTCCCGTTTGTGAAATGTCCAATTGGGGCTTCACAATGGGGCTGGGAATTACTGTGTAGCAGCTGCTCGCTGGGGGCTCCGGGGAACTGGCTCTCGCGCCGTTGCCAGGCAGTGCTCTGCAGCACCAATTAGCCTACTGTGTTCTTTTGCTGAATTTAAAGCCGAAGTCATCAGTGGCCCTTCATTCTCATTGGTATTTTTCTAGTAATTAAAAGATTTGGAAGTTCATTTACACGTAAGAAATGTCACCGGCACCGCCTAGAGCACATAGCATGCCTTAATTGTAGAAAAACGGTGTTCAGGACGAGCCACATGTCACAAAGGAGTCCTTCTTTCTCAGTGTGGCCAGAGCACACCACTGCCCCATCCCTTCTGGGCTTGGGTTCATGGGTTCTCGGGACAGAATCAGACCCTCCCTCGTGGCCACACTCAGTCTGCACAGACACAGAAACTGCTGCCTTTAAACAAATAACCAGGATCCTTGTCTCTTTTTGGGTCAGGCTATGGGAGAAGATAATTTAAAATATGAATTAATTTGTTCTTTTCCTTCTATTTCCCACTCATCCATTTCTAACAAATATTCAAGTTTTATTCGTGAATAGTAAGAATTGTACACTCACATCTGCTTCATCCCTGGACCCATTAACTGGGCCCAATCACCCAGGTCCTCTAACCCAGCTGCCATGGGAGTGACCCAGAAGGCTGCAGATTGTGCCAGGCTGGGGCCTTAGGGAGCCCCTGGGGTTTTTGGGAGATGCCCCCACAGACAACATTTGAGGGCACCTCTCCCCACACCCCAGCCAGAGCAGCTGTTTTATCTATTGTAG